AGAGCAACAGCCAAAATTACTTCTGGATGCTTACAAATTGGATGCTTCACCGCCCACAAAAAAAAAAATGGAATGGAATGGAATACCACAAAGATGCGATGATGAGGACTCATGACTTTATATCGGGAATGAAAGATGTTTCAAAACGTATAGAACATGTTACGGACAAACAAGAACAAACTTATACAAGAAAGGACAAACTTATTCAGTTGATGTCATTGAGACAATTTAATTGTGTGAAACGGAAAACATCGCTTTGAGGGGAAATAAAGCCTCTGGAATACTGTAGTTAGACTAAAACTTAGAAAATATTTGGACAATACTCCTAAAAATGCAACATACCTGAGTTTTAGAATAAAGAACCAGTTAATAGATATAGTATATTGTTTAAGAAGTGAAAAGTGCTGTATTCTTTTCGGTTATAGAGGATGAAATTAGAAATGTAGAAGATTTTGGGCAAGGTATCTAACTAGAGAATGTTTCCTTTGATACGTGGAATTATATAGATTAAGAGGAAAATAATTTTCGACCGTCATAATAAATACAATATTCGGCTTTGGTTTGAATCCAACAATTTGAGAGGTCAAGGATATGACGGCGCGTCTCACATGCCCGCCAATTATAATAGAGTGCAGACCATTATTAAATCAAAATTAAATGCAGATGAAGTATATTTTCTTCAATTTTGGAAATTTTCGCATTCTGTAAAACATCCAAAAAGGTCTGCTAATTTATGTAGAATATTTGAAGAAGCAAATAAATCGTTCAAATGATTACATTCCTATTGTGAAACGCGATAGATTGAGCAGCATAACTGCGTACAAATATAGAGGAGATAGTGGAATCGTTGGAAGAAATAGGGGAAAATGGCAAGATTTAAGTTGGACTTATTTCTATGAAGTAGAAGTTTCAGGTCAAATGTAATGAGTTTGAACTCCGAATATTTTATAGAATTACATTACTTGTACACTGGGATGATTTATCGTCATTTTGACGACATTGAAAAATGACGATTTGAGGATTTTTGCCCAAAAAATGACGTTTTTTGGTAATTTTACTTATATGGCAATATTTGGGTTCTTTTTCTTATGGCAACATCAAAAATGTGTAAAGCGAAACAAAAAGTAAAAAAGAAGATGAATATTTGGCATATGTGTGTTTGTGTGTGACGTATACTTTGCATTGTTCAAAGCCAACAACAGTTTACCCAGATAGATGAAAAAATACCAATCAGCTGTGCCGTTCTCTGGGTAGACAGCAACCAAACAAATAAAAGTTAACGGTTGCTGTTTTAGACACAGGAAGATGGAAGAAAATTGGTGAACGGAAAAGTTGTTATATTAAATTTAAGTTTCAATTTAAAAATTATGGACAAATTTTTAAACAAAGGCGGTGGTAAGCGAAGGATATAGCTGATAGCAGGAGAAATATTATATGGTTTTATAAAATATTTCAGCATGAAACTCTGATCCTGGTGATGAAAATGCTGGTACGATAAGTCCCATGTATATTACAAATGAAAAGAATAATTCATTTTTCGATATCCTTAAAGAATTTCCACATTTTCTGAACGAAGATAAAAAACAAAAATTGGATTCAGAATTTCGCGAACTAAGGTTGTTTGATTTTGATAACATTTGTGAAAATGATGAAACGGATTTATTTCGTTTTCGGAATGCAATATTTGATTTGAAACGTGGTGATGGTTCATATGTTTTTCCTATAATAACTAAATTTGTACGGAAGATAATGGTATTACCCCACTTTATACCAAAGATTATTTGAAAGTTAACAAAACAAATTGTTATGACACATTAATTAAAACCGACATGTTGAAAATGATAAACTTAAATATTTTTTTACAAAATGAATGACTTTATTAGAGTCCAAATGACTATTCAAATATTTATTTATAAAATAAATGAATTTCTTGAATAGGTTTATATACAACCAGGTTTAATAAATTGATTACCTCTTTTATGTTCCTTTTAATAAAAAAAATATATCTAAATGGGCGTATTTAAATTTTTGACGATTTTTGATAAAAAATCGTTATTTTGACGATTTTCCATATTTGAATGAACTAATCGTAAATATATTTAACGTACGTATAAATGATGTATATAAAAATAATAAATTTTTTTAAACTTAATTCAAAAATAAATATCAAGAACAAAATTAAATATTTCATTACCTAGTCGTATCCTTTAGGAAATTAGTAGGTAATTAGTATCTAGAATAATGTATTAAATAATTTAACTTTTCGTTCAATTATATTCTTTTCTCGATTCTTACGGATACATTATATAATGCGATGATTATAATGCATTACTAAATCGATTCTCAATGTAATACGTTCTCACTTTTCCCACTGGGTTTATTCTATTTTTCATTCACTAAAACTCGTTATTTGTTTACAAAAACCAAAATCAGTAATCGTTTGTTTTTTTCGACGAACGAATGGACATTTTACATTTACAAAAACAAGCTGTTAGTTGTTTGAGTTGATTTGGATTAATTTAATTTACTAAAACAAGTAGAAGTAAATACAAATTAATGTTTGTGAAAATACGTAAGAAAATATTGATTAATATTCTTTGTATATTTATTAAATCCAAAAAAAGTATTGTTATAAATATATATTACGATTTCAAAAAATCAAAGTTCCGCTTTTATAGGTACCTCGAGTTCCCCTTTTATAGGTGCTTTCGAGCATTGTTCTTCCGATATGTCTTCCGGTTCATTATTTTGGGCACTCTCGATATCAGGATCATGAATTTCTTCAATCCATTGGTTTATATATTCAAAGGAAATTTCATTCTGAAAACAAACCTATTTAGAAATAAATCCAATTGAATTTTCGTTGATTTACTCACTCCATGAAATATAGTATTAATATTCGAACTCCATTTATGATTCCATTAAGACCTTCGTCTTGACGCAAAAGAACAGACAATGAAAAGTCGTCTTCTTCATTATAAGAAAAAAGTTTGTGGTTTATTACTTTGTTCAAGGTATGCCTCTACCTAATATGTAACCATTGTAATAACCAAAAATAAAAACATAAAAAAAGCATTCTTGTTACCTGAGAAACAATCTTGTCGAAAACTCATTTTTTGTGTTTTTGGAGGAATTGTAAAGCTTTGTTCCGAAAGCAGCGGCATTTTTTCCTAGGCTTTGGTAAATTTCAATTTACTTTGTATATACTTTATAGATCCACCTTTGCCATGATCTTAAACTTTTCGCTTAACGAAATTTTTTCATGACAGAATGTTTAGAGAAAACAAACAAATAAACTGTAACGGGGTTTATTTTGCTTTTTTTCTTTTGTCTAAAGTTTTGCATGTTTTTTATACCCTTCAACACACTGTGGTACAGGGCATTAGGGCTATAATTGTGATTTTTTTGATGATTCATTAAGCAGCCAATGCAAAAACCCAAAAATGGCTACAAATGACGCAAAGTGCATATGATTTTTATGCGAACCCGATTTCAGTAATCTCCTGTGAAAATACGTCATGCAAAACCTATTTTAACGCATTTTTTCGTAGATTCACGATATGTTTATACAGGCTTATATGTGTGTAAATTCAGTAACAGGAAGCCGCTATTATATACGCTGTTTTTGCAGTTTTGCCTGCTTTCAAAGTAAATTTATCCGCCGTTTTATTGCGCTTTGTTCCGCTAGTACAAAATGAACAAATTCGCTGTTGCAAACATAAATTTACTGTGAAAAAATTTCATTGAGGGCCCCTATGGCTTCTTCGCACAGTGTTGCCTCAGTGAACAAAAATCAAAATATGCTATGGTAAAATGTATATATATTTATGCTTTTATTTTATAGTGAACAGTTCTGATATGATGATTCAAAAAGAATTTTGTTGATAATGGAGCAATAATGAAGTTATAGCTTAAATAATATGAAACATTTTGGATAGGTAATTTACAACGAAAATCGTCTGAAAAATAAATAATGTTTCGGGCAATTTTATTTCAAAATCATGCTGATAATATGGAAAATTTTTAATTGGAATTTGATAAGGGAGTTCTAAACATTATATTTAAGAAACACAAAAAAAATTACAAAAAATAAATATGTTCTAAGTATGGTATAAAGAATATTTCAATTTAATATAATAGAAAGAAATATATTTTCGTTATATTCCATAGAGTATATCTTAAAATTGCAAACTGGACTCTTTTCCTACGATAGTTGGGCATCCCTTCCGAAGCGGAAAAAGCAAAAATTTTCTGCTACTACTTGCAACTACACAGATTTCAAATTGAAATTTAAATAAAAGTACAACATTTCTCTTTAAATATGACACATTTTAAACATTAATATAATTTTTTGACAAATGCATTCATTTTATTATGTGACAAATTTTTCAATTTAATGACACGTTATTGGCACAAGTGACGAGAAAGAAATGACCAATAAAATGATAGCCTTCGCCAATTACCCTAATATACAGGAGATGCTCCCAAAATTCTTATTATAAGGTACATTAGGACATATACCGATTTAAACCTAGTATAACAAACATCATTTTCTAATTTATTTTCCATATATGTACAATAAAATACATATGTATATCCATAGGATATACACAGTATCTTCGAGAACCGTAGACAAGAAATCATATGAAATTAATTATGTATTAAATATGAGTATAAACCAATTTAGTTATTTATTATATATTATAAGAATTGGGATATTTTAAGTACCATTTGAATAAAATTGAATACAATTGTTTATAAGAAGTGTATAAATCAGACTTCAAACTGGCCATATATGCATATTTAATGGCTTGAAAAAGATAACAAATTGACAATATTTTATTGTTTTCCATTAAAACCTCATGTGTAAATGTCCTTTTAATTTGGTAAATCAAATTAAATGCAGCTCGATTTGACAATCGCGTTATTGATAATACGACGTCAACAGGGTTACAATAAGATGAACGATAATCGTTTACAGGAACATATAGAGTACTTACATAAAATGTTTAATGGAAATGGTGGGCTAACTCCTTCTCCCTCACTATTAAATCCAACACATGAAAAATTCCCAGCTGTTGATCTGCTGACACCTTGCAGTACTAGTGAATGATTACTAATTATGACACCTTGAGAAATGTTTCGTGGCAGTGGTAAATTCTGCGAAAGAAAAGAAATTTCACTTTATTAGATTATGTGCACTTCATTTGTTTCTGTAATATTTGGATTGTTGTATCCACATCGCAAAAAAATCACATATACACGATAATTTTTTGTCGAACGGGTACTCCAACAAAGATTTTTGCTCGCAGAATTATGTACATAAATTAACCCGTTCAAACAACATTATTCTTAATTTATGTCATCAGAGTTTATATTTAATTTGTCATTTCAACAAGGGGAGACTGGGGCACCTTCGGCATCGGGGCACATTCGGCAATCGCGTTTTCGTACATCACTAGCTTCGATCCATAGGTATCGAATATCTAAATAAATAACTGTCGCATAGTTTGAAATGTCTAGCTAATAAACTTATTTAGATGTACGTTTTTTTTTTGTATTTTTATATACTGTGGTACAAGGTATTATGTCTTTGTGCATATGTTTGTAACAGGCAAAAATAATCGAAGTAGACCAATGGTTCCATTTGAGAATAAGCATAGAATCACTTTCTGAGTCGATTTATGCATGTCCGTTCGTCCATGTATTTTTATTTGGCCCTATTGAAATTGGAGAAAATCGGTTCAAATTTAGATATAGTTGCCATATATAGTTTGGCCCGATTTTAGGTAAATGGTGCACCAAATTCCAAATATTTGTCCGATTGTGACAAAATTTTTGCACAGCGCACTGAATCAAGTCCATACCTGACAATATTTGTCCGATTGGGACAAAATTTTGCACAGAGTACTGAATTGGGTCCAGACTGATATCGGTTCCGATTTAGATATAGCTCCCATATATAGTTTCGTCCGTGTTTTGTGAGTGATACACCAAACACCCAATATTTGTGTGCTGTGGTTTGTTGAAACCGGTTCAGATTTTTATATAGATTTTATATATATTTCCGTTCGATTTTAATGCAGAGGGCAATAAATTGCATTTAGAGTGACAACAAAAAACAAATTGTGTATACAACGGTTGCTCAATTAGGCCCATGTGTTTATATATAGCTCCCATACATAATTTGACTCGATTTCATACAAATGGTACACCAAAAAATCCAGGGCTTGCCGTTTGACATATACTTTTTCATTTTTCAATTATACTCCAAAAATTATATGCAGGATATTGTAGGTATTAACATCTCTTGTATATACTCAAAGTGGTGAAGGGTATCATATAGTCGGTCTAGTCCGACTTTTGGACTTTCCTTACTGGATAGAGATGTTTTTGTAATATTTCTTTTCAAATTTTAAAACGTATTTAATTACAATGGGAATTCTTATAAAAATAATTAAAAATATAATATTTTTAGAAGATTGATAGAAATAAAATAAATGGAAAAAGTAAAACAAGTACATTCGGGGTTGATTCGGCATTTTAATGTGGGACACATTCGGCCATATACAGTCAACGTCCACAGCTAGAAAATAAAGCCTTAATAGTCGCATAATAAAACAGAATGGAACATTTAGAGGATCTGAATTTCAACCAGACTGATATCGGTGATAATTGCCAGGCAATGTCTATGGTACCAAATGATGCAAATGTGGTATACCCATTTGTTTTTGGATTACCAAATTTTTAATTTTTATCCGATTAAATTGAAATTTTACACTTAACATGCTACATGTGTTGTCTTTCCATGTATCTATTTAAAAATAATATAATATTATAACAATTTAAGAGATATTTAAGAAAATATTTGAAATTCCATTAAAAGTGATTTTAAAAAAAGTGCAGGTAATGTGGTATACCACATGATGTTAAAGCGGTATAGTATAATTTTCACTTCCAATTGATATCTTATATAATTTTTTGATTTTAATGAATGCGAATTAGCTCGAGATTTAAGTCTGTTAAGATTTTTAACGGATACGTTGAGTGGAACTTTAATTTTTATTATATAACTAGCAGACCCGGCAAACGTTGTTTTGCCTTATCAGAATTGCATCAATATAGGGTTGGTAAAAATTAACGAATTCATTGAAAATATATTTCAGAAACTATTTACCAAATAATGTACGTCAAAATTCCACAATAAAAAATATTCATAATATTTTCCTCATTACGTTAAACCTTCATTTACAGATACTCCTGTATATTAAGTAATATTGTTATTGTTAAATATTCGGGTATGTTATGGAACTCACGGCGTATTCGTTTCACTTCACACATACACTTCACCTCAGGAGTTACCTCACGTTCTGCATCTCACGTGAATTGAAATTTTTGAACTGCGACAAAAATAAACGCAGACATGGTAGTTTGCAGAAATAGTGTTGCCATACAATTTGTTTCTGTTATTTTTTAGTAATTTCGTAAATTCTAACGATAATTTTATTATTCTTTTTTAATATTTTATTATTCGCAACATAAAAAATATGTATGAAACATTTTTTAATATCATTAATTTCGTTGAAGTGAATGCCAGAACATGCCCGAGTATGTGTGGTATTTCCGTTTATCAATTGGTCGAACTTATTCCACCAAACATTTTTCAGGAGAAGGTGTTTTGTGTTCAATTACTCCAATCTCCGACTTTTTATGTTTTTCTCAAAATTTTCTTTAGTAAAACTCTGCTCACTGCAATTAAAAACAATCGGAGAAAAATTTGAGTCAAATTTGTGCAGTCGTATTCAATATAATCATTTTTGATATCATTAAAAATATATTTGAGGAACCATAAAGACACATAAAAGTCAGACACCTAGAGCACCTAATGCGCAATTGTCTCCATGTAGGATTCAAATTTATAATACAATTTATAATAAAAATTTCAATAATAATACCGAAATTGTTAAGGTTTTTGTAATGGACATTTTGGTATATCATACATTTTTCACAAATAAAGCTGGTGTTATTTCCTATTTAGAATACGTTCAAGTTTAAGCCAATGGGATAGATGTCATGTGTTGGTTTTATAATGTATTATTGTGCGTTTTTAAGCCTCCTTATATTTGGTCCATATTTTAGCATAGTACGATTTTATGTACTTTGAAAATAGTAAAAAATACCGTATACATTGCCTTTAATTTGGGTCAAATCGGTGCCGCCGTTCTTAATCGATAATATAAATTTTTACATCATTTTTTATAAATAGATTTAAATTAATTTTATTTAATTTAATTTTTATTCTTTTTTCGTTTGACTCTCACGCGCTTTTCATGAAAACAGGTTATATATGAGTCGGTGTCCGAATACTTAACGTCGGTACACAACGATTAAGCACCCAATATTTAATCGGGCAAACCACAAAGAAGCTATGTATCGCGCCATCTGTCGGACGAACTTAAAATAAAACACAAAAACACTACTCACGCCTCATAGAGCATATACGTAAAGTTTGGTCAAAATCGTTGCAGTAGTTCTTTAATTATTGTGAAAAACCACTGTTTAGCTCAGAAGGGCTCCGCCGGAGGGAGTCAGAACGCCGAATGCGTCGAGCAGTGGACCGTAGGGGGAGGATGTCACTTTTGTGACATTTTAACGAATAATTATTTGTCACTTTTTTACCGCATCCTTTAAGCAACGATATGCGTGCTGTCTGTCCGAATGACAGTATGGTACTCCTTGATGCTTAAAGGATACGGTAAAAAAGTGACAAATAGTTATTCGTTAAAATTTCAAAGGCGCTAACCCAAGGTTGCAAACCGTAGCGCATACATTTTAACGAATAATTGAAGACCACAACAGGGGTCAATAAAAAGTATTATTTTTATACAAATCTAAATTAAACAACCTCAAAAAAACTAAATCTGTCGGATGAACTTCAAACTACACAGAAACACTTCTCACGCCCCATAGAGCATGTACATACAATTTGGTCCCAATCGGTGCAGTAGTTTTTGAGTTTAGCGATCACGAACATACATGTTATTTATATATATATAGAGATATATATAATATATAGAGATAATGTCTACTCATGGCAATATTTAATTTTTCTATGGAGAAGTTGTTAAAACTCATATCCTTTGTTTTTCATCCTTGTGATTCATGGTAGACTCTCGTTGAGTGCAAATGTTTCAAATAGTAATGAGATTTTGTCTGGTGCTGGCTTTTTTCATGCAGACTCAAGGTATACCACATTACCTGCACTTGTGTTTACTGAATAAACGTACAGTTTTTTTCCCCAAATTGGTAAATATGTGGTGCAATCGCGCATATTATTTGATTTTTAGTACTTATTAATTATTTTAATGCTTTAATAATAAAGATTAAAATTCATCTGTAAAACAAAAAAAAATATTTTTAAACTTCAACCGAGAAAGGTCAATTTCATGAAAATTGTAATTTTTGCTACTGGTTCTCAACGTGAGTTAAATAAATTAAACAGATCATTGCTATCTTATTATTTGAGAACAGTAAACTATAGAACATGTTTCAGTTATTCTGAAATTTTCAGTTTACAAAAAAAAGTGACTATACTGGTGAATAAGTACTGAGTTATAGAGCTCTAAACAAAAAGTGACGAAGGTGCCCCAGTCTCCCCTATATACTTGTTTAACTATCCGTCTGTTGAAATTGCGATAGAGATCACAATATTTATCATAGAACTCTCAAATTTTGCACAGGCATTGCTAGTACTCTTAGGATGATTGGTATTGCAAATGGGATATATCGGTCCACTTTTGCTGTAGCCCCCCATATAACGGTACACCCAATATTAGGTATTTTGGGTTCTCATTGCATAGCACATGTCCGTACCAAAAATTATTAATATTGACCCATGTTTCAGGGTAACCGCCATATAACGGCACCCCAGTAGGTACAATGTATTAAGGACCGGGACGAACTTAACGTCGTTTTTACTCGTTCTTTTTCAAATCGTTGCTTTCTTTATACAACAATGTTAACTAAACGGCTGGCATCACCTATTTATCTAAATAGAAAAATTATTTATCTTCCTCCTGATTATAAAAAGAACCTATGGCTAATTACATTTCATTAATGTTTTTATTTTTTTTTTTAAATGTTGTCTTTTTTGATATATT